GTGAGTTTGTTTTGATGTTGTATGATGACGTCGTATGACGCACGCACAAAACCAATTTGGATGCAAAAAGAAAAAATGACTAACATATTTATTTTTGTTCAAATATTTTTGCTTTATTTATAATGATGTGCAAGTTTCTAGTTTATGAAAATTGGTGTGTCATGGTCCAAAGTACTGAGTGCATTAATGAGATTCAACTGAACTTGGGCAATGTATTCATTATACAATATATTCATTGCCTTCACCAGGGATGTTATCTGTCTATTTGTCTGATGAATAGCAGAATACCTAAAAACTGGTCAACAGATTTAAATGGAATTTATTGGAAAAGTAAGTCATGGGCCAAGGAAGAAATAATTTCTAAAGGTCTTGAGAGACGATAGTGCCACCATGTGGCAATTTATAAAGCACTTTAAAAAAAAAATTTTCACTTGAAACTCCCAAGCTATGAAATTTTGCAAAATTCTTGTTTTCCTGGATCCCTCAGTCCAGTACATATCTGCTTTACCCATAAAAGCCACACACTCTTTCTGTGACCTATATTATTATTTTCCATTCTAAATGCAAACATTTTTTGATAAGTTCTATGAATTTTGTGCAGTCTTCACTAAAATTAGTGTTAGATCATTTGTGTTTGATGCTCCATCCATTCCTACAATGTGCTGCCAAGTTCTTAGAGGCCTATCTGTCATAAATTCCCATCATTCTTGAACACGGTGTGTAACGCGGTCCCGTTTCAAAGTGATCCTGCAGAGATCTGATGCTGTTTAGTCCATAGGTGGTGCTACAGCAGCATGATGACTTTAGCTGGTCATAACTCAGCAGTCATAATTCTGACTTATTACACATTTTACAATATTTGTGCCTAATATTTCCATTATTTCAACATTATCCTACAGTCACCATGAATACCTGTCATTGTGCATTCAGATAAAGATATAAATGCAGATTTTTCATTTAAAATAACATATTTTAGGATTGTTTCTCTGTGCTTTCTGTTGTGGTTTTTAATGACTTCTTGTGACTTTGATTGACAGGGTTCCACTGGTTCAACAGGACTAAAAGGAGAGGTATGTTAAGCTGAATACATTAATTACTGCACATCCATTTAACCTGAATTATCATACTATTGCTAACACTGGGCTTGTATTTTTGCCAGAAAGGGACAGCAGGGGATCCGGGGCAAAGAGGTCAAGAGGGTCAAGCGGGACGGCCTGGACAGCCTGGTCAGTCAGGCCCACCTGGCCCCCGAGGGCTGCAGGGGGACTCTGGTCTACCTGGTCCACCTGGACCTGAAGGAAGATCTGTACGTGTGATACACATTGTGTTAACAGTGTTACTGTCGATAATATTTTGTTTTTATCATGATGTCACGTCTGAGATTGACTGAAATAATTGCATAGACATTGACTGGAGAACCATGTGATCTGATCCTTTATTTACAGGCAAGTGAAATGTCAGACAATCACATTCGGCAAATTTGCAGAGACATTCTTCAGAGTGAGTATCATCACAGACTGACTGATATGTTGAATGATATGTTTCTCTGTGTTTTCACAACATATCTGAAATCTTGTCATTGTCAATCATCCTAGCTGAGCTGCCTTTATTGTTGCTGAGCAACCAGCAGAGTAGCTGCACCAGGTGCCACAGCCGGACTGGATCTCCCGGCCCTCCGGGTCCAGCTGGGTCCCAGGGACTAAGGGGTCTTCCTGGACTTAGTGGCTCCAGGGGACAGCCAGGCCACCCTGGTCGACCAGGGCACCCTGGTGTGAACGGGCTCAAAGGTAAAGCCAGCGTCAAGTCAACAGTGTGTTATTAAAAGTATTTTGTTGGATTGCTCTAACAAGGACATTTGTGTTTGCAGGAGAACCAGGTTTCCAGGGTGAGAAGGGGAGTCCTGGTCGAACCATGACTGGAGACCAAGGGCCACCTGGGCCTCCAGGTAAATAAAGTGGCTAATTATTAATTATTATGATATTATACTAATTTATCATTCAGTTTATTTAGTGAAAACCATGTGGAAGCTAGTTTGATGAGGTTCTGATATTTAATGTCACCTTTTATGTACCATTCCTTTGAACTGATGGCTTAGTACTTTTATCTCCTCAGGTCCAATGGGTCCCCAGGGGTACAGTAAACCAGGTCCTCCAGGTAAGCCTGGCCAGCCTGGTGTAAACGGAGCAGAGGGTAAAAGTGGTAATCCTGGCATCCCTGGCCAGCCTGGGGTGTGTGATCCATCCATGTGCTATGGTAGCATGATGAGGAGGGATCCTTACAGCAAAGGGCCAAACTATTGATGTAATGCAGCGCCACTGCAGGCACCAGTCTAGAGCTGATGTGGAACAAACAGCCATTCTCAGGAAGATCTCATCTTTACAGTTGTCTCTGTCGTGGAAACAAAACGGACCTCTTCTAACACCTTGTATGTGATCTCAGACAGTCAACAGAACTAGATCCTTTCACATTTTCTCCATTGGTATTCTGTATTATTATTCAGATGTCTTTGAACATGCTTTGAGGTTTTAATGGCGTTAAGAGAATTAGAAATTGGCTCCGTTTAATACCTCTAGTCCGATCACCTTGAGCTCATGTACTACATCTATGTCTGGGTCTCCCTCTGGACAGTACAGCTGGTACATTTTCCCGTATTGCCGTTTGGTGTTGCTTTGTTGCATGTTGCTGTCTAAATTTTCACAGCACATTGAGTGGGTGCTAAATCTAACATAAAAAAAAACACAACTTCTATAATCCATACATTCCATCTTCAGTGATTTCACCATAAATTATGTCAGGAATTGGCATGTTTCAGCACAAAACTGTGAGTTTGATTTCCTGTAGCTGATTATGAGCTGCTGTAAGCCTGTGTTCCTAAAACATCCAGTTTGACTGTTAAGCACTTAACTCTTTATGAAAACCTTTTACAACAGTGTATCATCCAAGATAAATTAATACCCCCCACTCCCCATTACATACAATACCAGTTCATTCACGTGTCATTTTATTCCAATTTAGAAGAAAAATGTTTAAAGTTTCGCCATCTAAGAACATGCTGACATTTTAGTTTGAAATTTTGTCATCTATGTTCCAGACGCTTACCTTTCATTACTGTAGCAGGTATTTTATTGTTATTTATGAAAGAGTCATAGCTGTGTATTTCAGCAGTGACATGTCTTAAGCATCATTTGTAATTTTATTTTGTGTTTAGGTGACTTTTGTATGAAACTTTCAATCTTTTTTTCTTTCTTTTTTTGGGTTTTTTTTTTTTTTTTTACTAGAATTAAAACATCTTAATGATTTGTGAACTCAGTTTGTCCTCTGCTTTGGGTTTTAAGTTTCAAGTTTATTTCAGGACATCATCACATCATCAATATCATCTCTCTCTCTCTCTCTCCTGGAAATTTTGGGGTGTGGTGTGTGGTGTGAGATGTTTTCCATTTTGACTGCAGCATCAAAAAAGGATGAAGTGTGATGGCTGTGGAACAAAAAGAAAAGAGAGAGAGGGAGAGAGATCATCACCTGGGTCTTCAACTAAGGACACCGCATTAGGAAACTTGGATACAAGTGCAGAAAGTTTCTGTGGGCGGCGTGTGTGTGTGTGTGTGTGTGAGAGAGAGAGAGAGAGAGAGCAAGAGAGAGAGAGAGACTTCGGTAATGGGTTTGTACACTAGATGGCGCTATGTGGTAATACTCAGGATGTCTAGGAGTTACTTTACCTAAGTACGAGCTTCATTTTTTTTTTTTTTTTTTTCACTTTGGACAGCAGCCACCCATCACATGGAAACCTCTGATTATTTATGTTTTTAATTATCCCAGTACACTTCAACACACTGTTTACTTCATGCTCCTCTGAGAATGGAGCTTTCTGCATAAAGGCTATTTGCCTTGAATGAACTTTTATATACTCAAAGTAAGTTTTTGCTCTGTGGGGAGTTTATGTAGCCTAATTATAAATATGGAAATCATTGGAGGATGTAGAGACATGCAACGGGAATGTGGTTCCTCATACTGATTTTACATTATCCTTATCAATCTTTGTGGTGTTTTTATCTCCACCCTTCTCCGTTGGGATTGTACTGTACAGCACATTGCAAGCAGGCCCACATGTTTGTTATTGTATTTAATAAAATATATTTTACAGCACCCCAGTGGATCGTGTTCGAGCCTTGTGCAGCATTACAAACACAGGATCCTTGTTGTTGTCGCTGAACGCAGCTGAGCCCTCTCCAATAAGCACGCGGACTTCAATAAGTTGAGGTGATTAAAAGGCTCTGTCATTAGTCTTTCACTCGTTAAGACGGGGCTCTCGGATTTCAAGTGTCTCCTTTTACACTCCAAAGCCGCCACATTCATCATGGGACACGGGCTGAAATTTTATTGCGGCCGCTAGAGGTGGATGCAATAACAAAAGTTGAGTGTGGGATGGACTCAGAGGGCAACTAGTCCCCAGTAGGCTCCACTCTCTCAGGGTTCAAAAAAAAAGAAAAAAAAAAAAAGAAAGAAAAAAAAAAGAAAAATGCGAGCCGGGGCATAAGTCGAGAGCTGGTCTCTGTCTCTCATTTTTGACACAGTTCAACACATTTCATCCACTTGGAAACTCCGGGTTATCCCTCGACGATTATGGGCGTACCTACGTGTTTTTTCATCACAGAGGAGTAAGGTGAGGGAAGGGGTCATAACTCCATAAATACTTGGTGTGGCACAGACTCTGGATGGACCCTGGAGGAGTAAATACCGCTGGAGGAGCCTCGCGCACAGGAGAGTAGCGGCGACTTTTTTTTTTCTTCTGCAAGCTGATACCTCATCTGTAGAGAGAGAGAGAGAGAAAGAGAGAGAGAGAGAATAAAAACTCCTCTCAGTTACCACCGTGAAAGTTGTGGTGCCTCTGGCTAATATGGAGAGTCTATGATTCCGTATTGGCAGAGATATAAATTGCTTTATTTTTCTCACAGAGTGCGATGTAGTTCAACCTCACCTCCCAGAGTGAGCTATTTGTCAAGATGACAGCGCTTACACCTTTGAACCGAGCCGTACTTGGACTTGCGTGGAGCTGTTTGAGTTTTCTGTCCTGCGCTCATTGCGGCTTAAGTGACAACCATGTGCACTCCAGTTTTATTTACAGGAGGTTGCGCAATCACGAACGCAGGGAGATCCAGAGAGAGATCCTCTCCATCCTGGGCTTGCCTCACCGTCCGAGGCCCTTCTCTCCCGGGAAGCAGGCGTCCTCCGCGCCGCTCTTCATGCTCGACCTGTACAACGCGATGGCCGTGGAGGAGGAGGTGGGGGAGGTGGAGGGGGTGGGGGTGGGGGTGCAGCAGGGCGCAGGGAAGAGCTTCAGTGCCAAGGTTCAAGGGCACTCCAGGAAAGGTTACTACAGCCCCCAGCATGCCGGGTACTCCCGTGTGGCACAGCCTTACCGAGCGGCCCCTCTGTTAGGCCACAGCCCCGCACTCACCACAGCGCACGACACCAACTTTCTGAATGACGCCGACATGGTGATGAGTTTTGTCAATTTAGGTAAGTGGCAGTAAAGTAGACTCGTTTTGTCTGCTGCTTTTATTAAATCACAATTAATGACAGTAGCCTAAATGCAGGCGATTCCTGATTTCATTCAAATTTAGAGGTGAAGCAGTTTCGTTGGAAAACCAACACATTCAACAGAGAAAGTCCCTCCCCAGCGTGTTCTGTTATTACTTTAACTTTACTTGGTGAAAAGCCAGAAACATTTTGTATGTTGGATGCAATTTTCTCTTAAATGCTCTGCAGACCTGCTTTCAAGAGTTAGGCTAAATGAATGAATACATTTATTGGCCTGCCTGTTGTTTTGTACAGGGATATATCAGCACGTGGAGTTCACTAATTCTGTCAAAATAATTTTATATTTTAATTAAATAATCATAGCTATGTTGCCCTTAAAAAAATTTTAATAACTCCATATAATTATGCTGAGCATCTAAATGAAGTTTTACAGGTGTTGGCTTCCTCTCATTCATTCATTCATTCATTCATCCATTCATTCATTATTTCGAATTTCGAATTTCTACATTTTTATTTCTTCGTTAAAATGTCATAAGTACATTTTCAGACATCAGTCATCATGTGGCCTCGGAAGTGTTCGGTTGCTTTTAGCCTTGTGTGAAATATTCTGTATTCAAACTGAATGAAGCCCTAAAGTTTTGACCAAATCAGGTTGTGCTGCTTTCTATTAAAAAGCAGCTGATGTGTATAATGATTGTGTTTGTTCAGTAGCCATGACCTTTGACCCCGCAGTTCAGAGCAACTTATCAGATGACTGTCTGACCTTGAGAAAATTGGTCTAAATTATTTCCTGTTGTTAAAAGGGGAGTGATATTGACTGATGCCTGTATTTCTTGTGGCTCTGTCACTAAGATAGAGCAGTAGCCCTCTTCCTCATATTTGTGTTCTTTGTAGCATTTATTGTTCTTTAATGAGAATGAAAATATTAAACACACTATATAGAAACTTACTCAAAAGTGTAATATGATGCTGCATGGCAAAATCCTAAATAAATGATAAAAGAAACAAACTTTACACAAAGCCCCTACTGTGGTGCTAAGGATTTTATTTTCTTAAATAAATAGCAAAACATGTAAAAGTGAATTTGTGTAGAGTTTCTTGGGAGTATAATCCCTCACCTTGGCCTGAGCCCATCTGTTTCCACTTACCACTATACCAGGGCATGTACACTGTCAGCCTTGAAAGCTCTGCTCTCGTTCTGGGGACTGTCAGTGAAGTGTTCAATGGGGCTCTGTCTTTATTACAGTACACTCAAATATAGCTACTGACCTCAGCTCTTTTAGAGACGTCTATGTGGGATCTCATGCAGTTTAATGTGCCTACTGTATGAATAGAAGTCAGCCGTCTGTATGCAAGAGGAGTAAAGATGTGACAATGCGGCACAACAGTCCATTTATTAATCCTATTGACATAATATGGATACCGTCCTGGTAGAAGCTGAATCTAATTAATATGCAACACATCCAGAATGCACATGCCTCACCTTTTACCGGAGAGTGAGGTCATTATTATTTCATCTTTAGCTATTCGAAAGTAAAATGCTCAACGCTCTCAGTGGCACTTCTGCTTCAGATTACTGCCTGTGGCTAAAATAATGGAACACGCTCAGTGGGTAAAAGTCAGACCTGACCTCTGACCTCTTTGTGCTAAGTAACCGCAGGCGTTCTCTCGATAAAATATCAGGGAAATGCGCTGCATATAGATATCACTACGGATGTCAGAAAATTCACTGAGCTCAGCCACATGCCTCTGCGCTGCTAAGAGGCAGGGGTGTGAGACAGTTGGCGGTCAGTGTTTGGTAGCATCGAACTATCTTTAGTCAGTAGGTGATAATGTAGATGCTCTGAGGCCTCTTGATGGGGTTACTTAAGTCATTTTTTACTGTGGGGCTTTATTTTGAAAATATCAAGCACATATCTTTTATTTATTCACCTGTAACGGACGATGAGTTTGTAAACATCTTCCACAAGTAGAGGCCTAAAAAGGTATCCCACTTCATTCATTATATTAGAAATATTTAGTTTTAAAGGTCAGGGGTTATTGAAGACTCTTAACGCATTGTATGAAACCTACAGGAGGTCAGTAAAAGGTCAGAAATGAGGTCAGAGTAGACGCTCCCATGATGTTGAAGAATCCTGTCTGGTCTTTTCTCTCACTTGAGGATCAGACCAAAGTGTTTTTAATTGAAATCAGCCTGTTTTTCTTAACTGACAGCCCATTCATCATGGCCAGAGAATGCAGTTAAGGCACACAGTAGAGGGCCTGTCTGGGAACTGCTACCTGTATTCAGTTGACTGATTTAATGAACTGGAAAGTGCTTTTGTTGGTAGTCAAAATGTTTGGATTGGACCCGAAACGTAAAAGAAGATGTAATAAATTACTCTTTTTCTGTGCGTTAATGCTGGCATATTTTCTCTTTTGAGCAACTCACGCAGCGGCTCAGGAGGTGAAGCCATATATTTTGATCACTGTAAGCTTTGCTGCCTCTAAAATATGAAATTCATCATAAAATATTTTCTTTCCCAGTGGAGAAAGACAAAGATTTTTCCCACCAACGAAGACACTACAAGGAGTTCCGTTTTGATCTGACTCAGATCCCAGATGGAGAGGCGGTGACTGCTGCAGAGTTTCGGATCTATAAGGACCGCAGTCATGCCCGCTACGACAACATCACTCTGAAGGTTTCCATTTATCAAGTCATCAAGGAATATCAAAACAAGTAAGTACCAAAACAACCAAAACCAAACACTAAGTACTGAACTGAAGTGCATTTCTGAGGTACATGTACTTGAGTATTTACATTTTGTCTACGTTATACTTCGACACCAAAAAACATATGTGCAAATATTGTCTTTTTTTTTTTATTAAACTACATTTATGTGACCGCTATAGTTACTCTTTACTTTTCAGATTGGGATTTTACACTAAAAACATTCAAACAATTTAAAAAGCATGTTATGCTTTTTTAGATTGAACTAATAAAAATATAGAAAGTAATTAAAAAATGCTTTTCCTCAAGCAACTAATACATTCATATGCTGCTTTCTCAGCAGTACATCAGTAATTATAGTCTAGAAATAGGACAGGGGCCATAATTCATGAGTACTTTCTAAGTCAAGTACATTTAGCTTTACTTTTGTACATTTATGACTACAAGACTTGTGCTTGTAGTTGCTATGTTTATTCAATTAAAACATCTCAACATTCTTGCACCAGTGATAAAAGGATATTTTATACATTTTATATTGGGGATAAACACATGTCGATCATTGATATTTGACAGAAAATTAATCTGACCTCATATAATCAGTCAGTCCCGGAGGAATAATAACACAAGCCAGCGAGGACTTGCATCAAGCCTGTGCTCAGTTATCTGAAATGCTGTGAAACACAAAGGGCACAGCAAACATCATCCTGTTTGCAACTGCAAATTGTTGGAAAGAAAACAGAAATAGCTGTTACTTCAGCTGTGCTTTGATCCCCTGCAGTAATCTTATTTCACAGTTACCAAAAAAAAAAAAAAATAGTCCAGCAGCTATTGTCTTGCACGGCTGAAACTTTCCACTCGCACAGAACGTCCTTCTATCTCCAACCCTGTTCTCCTTCATTCGCACCATGTCTGCCTTACAAATATAGTTCTCGGATAAAGAGAGCTCCATTAGCAAGTTGGCCACTTATGACGCTCAGAAGGTCCATCAGTTATCACTCGTCTTGTGTTGCCTGCCAAGCTGGACGCGTCCCAGATGAAACCCTGAGGGCCCATATTGGGGGAGGGGGGCGGGGGGGGGTGGGGGTGGGGGGCTCCCTCGGGTGCTCCCATGATCACTGTTATGCCCACCACCTGCCTGTCTTAACAATATTCCGGAAGTTTAAACCATGACATAGCTGAATACACAAGGGTGTACTTAAAAGTGGGCCCACATTTGCTTGCCAAAAATGTGTGTGGGTGATTGAAGGGGAGATATGGCCCTCCTGGGCTTTGAAAAGGTCCAAGTCAATGGACTCTGCCATCTTAAAGGGGAAGACGGCTCAGTTTAAGTTTTCACACACGTTTTCATGAGGAATCGTATGCTTCAATCAGTATTCACAAAGAAGAGCAGCGCTTTCCCAGTGCTAGAAATCTTAGAAGCAATCTCGGAAAATGTGATTTTAGAACAGTTTTCTCAAGGTTTTTCTCAACTTAAAAAAAGCCTAATGAGTTCATATTCATAGCACTGTCAGCTTGTAAAGCCATGCACATTCTTTTATGTTTACTTACCAAATCAGACAAAATGTGTTAATCCTCAAACTAGTCACAGCCAAGAGCTTTCACTCAGTTATTTCTACAGCATCTACTTGTGCACTAAACTATATAGTTAAGTCATGGTTTCATTAGTGAGTTAAAGCGGTGACCATGTGCACTAGCAGCAGCATCCTCAGTTCCTGTCAATATTTTTCAAAAAATCCCTTTGTTAGAGTTAAGTAAAGGTTGTAGCCAGTGTTGAATAAGTGCAGCAATCCTCACTGATTAGTATGAGTATGGGATTGAACTGGAGATGTTGGTGTTAAAGGCACCCTGTAGGGTTTTTGTAAACAAACAAAGTTGTGTTTACATTCACTGTTTCTCACCAATGTGCAGTGTGTTTATCGTTGAGCTCCAACAAACATGTTGAATGCATTTCCTCTCCTCTAAAATATGTGCAAAGCCAATTCTTGGCGGAATTTGAAACCTACAGTTTAGGGCACATTTTAAAGTGACTGCGCACCAACCTTCTTTCACTCCACTATATCAACATCCTGTACTGGATTTTGCCACTGAACATACACTGCTAATGGAGAATAGCGGCATATGAACAGAATTTGCAGGAAACAGACTCAAAAGAGACTAAAACGTCTAAAAGGTCTTAGTTACCTCTATCCCTGGTTTCCACTCAGTTAAACTTGCCCTCTGTGGAACAGTACATCCACTAATCACAGATTAAGGGGCGGGAAAAACATTTTTCCTCTTGGATCTGGCTGCGAGAGAAACAAATTCTTACCTACAGAAACTAAATTATCACAGGATGTCAGCTTAATGCTGTACATTTCAAAGAGGAAGTTCAGCAGGAAGTCACTCATAAGGATTAACCTTGTGTGGTTGAGTTTTATTACACCTGTAATAAACACATGAATAGTTCCTGAACTCTCGAGGCCACATGGAAAATCTTGGTTCTTTCCGACCAGCACCATGTAACCACAAAAACTGAACAGGCCTTATCCGATCTGCTGCTTGAAAGGAATCCAATGCAAATTGCGAAGCGGGGCTTTTTCAACTCAGGGTTGATTGATGCCTTATGTCAGACTCATGTTAAAAATACACAAGGCCTGATACACAAGATTCATAACTCCTGAAAAAAAGTTTGTACCCATCAAAAAGCTGAAATCTTGGCACACGGTTGGCCACACAACTCTGCAGTTTATTACAAGTCACAGCTTCTTCAGCAATAGCGGCGCTCTTTCTTTTTTATCTCCGCTACAAAGCTGGCACATGAAAATCACCAAATTACTTTTACACACCAAATGACCAGTTTTCAATACGCAGGCTTTTTGAAGAAGAATGTTTGGTTTCAAAAGGATAAAGAGATGAAGAAACTAATAAAAGCCACTCTGATTCTGGCTCCTGCTGCGGAGCTTGAGCAAAGGCATCCATTTGTGATCAGTCAGTGATACCTCCTTTATCTGTTCTTGTCTAAGTGGTTAAGACCTCTTGGATTCAATCTAAATACCCCAAAGAGGCATATGGTTTCTCTTTTGTGTCCCATTAAAGCAATGCGGCAATAAGGTGCACAGCCCATTTTTATTTAACAAACTGTAGCCACCACAGAGGTTTTGTAATTTGTTCATAATGCAGCAGCAGTAAAGTGACCACATTCATTGCACCATCTGTTTGGTCTGAAACGCAGGAGTAATAATCTCGAAAACCAACATACCCACAGAGATAAATATTAAAGTCATTTGCACTGGCTAGTGATATATTTTAAATAGTCAGAAGACATGCTTTATGTTTTTGTTGTGTAATAGCAGCTGCAGCTTGCATGGCCGTTTGAGTGTGCATCATTTTTAACTGCGATTTATTTAATACAGATGTGTTTTTTTTTTTCGTTTTTTTTTTTTCATTGTGTTCTCTTAACTTCAGAGATGCAGAGACGTTCTTGCTTGACTCCAAGAAGGTCCAGGCGTCGGATGGGGGCTGGCTGGTGTTTGACATCACGGCAACCAGTAACCACTGGGTGATGAACCCACAGCAGAACTTGGGCCTGCAGCTCTGTGTGGAGACAGTAGATGGCAAGTGAAGTTCTGTTTTTCTTTCTATCAATATGACATTTGCTCCTTGTGTACCTCCACAGATTTATTTTAGACTCTTCAGGAAGTTCATCTTTTCAGACGATGCGCAATGTCTGTATTGTGATTCAAAACTAGTATTTTCATTGACTTCAGAGCAAATTTACATTTGATATTGGTGATTATTAATCAACAATAAACAGCCGCAAATCCACTAAAAAGGTTAATGGGTTGATCCGGTTTTTGTATTTAAGATTCTGGACTTCAGCATTACCTTGAAAGCATTCATAGTATAATAAAATAGCCATCTTTTGTTCAGTTTTGTTTTGAAAGCTTTATTTACCTGCTGATTTTTAAAGGACGAAGTATCAACATAAAATCTGCTGGAATCATTGGGAGGAACGGGCCTCAGTCCAAGCAGCCCTTCCTGGTTGCTTTCTTCAAGGCCAGCGGGGTGTTACTTCGCTCTGTCAGAGCTGCTGGTGGGAAGAAAAAGAACCACAATCGCAATAAATCCACCAATCAGCAAGAATCATCTAGGGCGCCAAAAACTGGAGGTATGTGCTCTTTTACGATGTGATAGATTTTTTCTATAATTTCTTTTACATCAAATCTCTACTCTGGATATATTTTAACCACATGCATCAGACAGGTCCATCCGTTTGTCAGATTTAACCAGCGTAACCGTCTGCAGCCAGATATCTCCACAATTACTGACCAGATTGCCTTGAAATTGGAAATTATATTTTGATCATCTGTTCACAGTGGTGGGCTGACTGCCATGAGTTTGCGGTGGAATGAACTTTTAATCTTGTCAATAACTTCCACCCACAAAACGTTCTTTTGTTTGCTCCCTCAAAACGTTTTCTTTTAAAATGTTACTCTGGAGAAAAACAACAAATTTTCTATTTGGAGACAAAGGAGATTTCATTCAGGATTCACTTCTGATCTGCAGGTCAGCAACAACGCTGTGAATACATTAGTACTCAGAGTGCCTGAGAGGTATTATGGTTAGTGGCTTCGTCTGTAGTGCACTCTGCTGTACATTTCATTAATCGTTTATCATCAATAGTTTCAAAGAATAATTAATAATCCAACACATTGATGGATGAATTACTGTCATCCCTGTTTTATAAATTAATGCTAATTCACAGCAGCTCTACAATTACAGCTTCTCAACATCTGCGATCCGCAGGCAATAAATTTTGCACAACATTTACTGTTTGTTAATAGTTTAAGATTTATTGGAAACATTTCCAAGCATCATATTAATGTAGGGATCCACAGTGCATATTTGAACAGTACTGTATATGCTTGTAGTGCATTTGCTCATGAGTTTTACAGACTTCTATGTTGTGTTTATCTTCCCACGTTAAGCGAACAAGAACTAAAGAGGTGTTGTCTTGACTTTCAGATTACAACACCAGTGAACAGAAGCAAGCCTGTAAGAAGCATGAACTTTATGTCAGCTTTCGAGATTTGGGCTGGCAGGTAAGACAAACTGATTTCACGTCTTTTGCACAAAGCAATGAATGATACACTTCTTTAATTCAGTTTACGTGGTCACACTGAGGAAACGGATATATGTGTCATAAATGAAGAAAAACAAATTGTCCTCTTTTTTATTTGTCAAGGATTGGATCATTGCACCTGAGGGCTATGCAGCTTTCTACTGTGATGGTGAATGCTCGTTTCCACTCAACGCACACATGAACGCAACAAATCATGCAATTGTGCAAACCCTGGTAAGTATCCTTTAGAGTGTATCACACGTGTCCTGAAATAAAGTCATGTTTTAAGCTTCCATAATGTTCTTAGCGGTTATGACTCATTTGAAACTCGCTGCAGTCGCACCTCTTTTAAACCTACTTCATGCTCTCATTTATAGGTCCATTTAATGTTTCCTGACAATGTGCCAAAGCCATGCTGTGCCCCAACCAAGCTCAACGCAATATCAGTACTTTACTTTGATGACAGCTCAAACGTTATCCTCAAGAAATACAGAAATATGGTCGTTAGGTCTTGCGGTTGCCATTAGTGGCTGGGCTAACTTTAATTTATGTTATCTGGTATGGGAATCGCTGGAAAACACATCTGCTGCAGGTGTGCTGTGATGTACAGTATTATGTATATAAAGTTTTATTACCTAATTTATTTTCTTTTTTTAAAAAAAATAGCACTGAATATTGTGATATTTAAATGATTAGGACAAAAATGATTTTACTTTAACGCCAGTTATCTCATAACTTTTGTGTCCGTTGGCATATACTCCCTCTTAGTTACGTCTGTATAACTTTTATGATTAAATTATTCACTGGAGTCATCATGATACATAAGGTCGCCTCCCCTCCTGCTTGTTGTCCCCCTTTTCCAATATGAAATGTGTGTGTTTTTTCTGCAAGGCTAATTTTGTGATGTGTTTGTTTCCAACAATTAGAAATGATTGATTTAGACAGAATAATGTCACGAAATTCTGCTTCAAAAATACATTTGATAAGCAAGACAGACCTCGAGATGATGCTATGAGCGCAAACATCACAGCCTGAACAGGCTGTAATCAGATTGGATCACTGGAAAACGAAAAACAGTGAGTGTTCTCTAATATAAACCAAACTGCCCAAAGCTATTTTCAAGCTGTCACCGTCTTTCAGCACTGATACTGCCTCACCTTTTCCATGTCAGCTTTTTTTTTTCTTTTTGTTTTGTTTTCTTTTATAAGTGAGCGTGCTCTCAGAGGGGGAATTGTGTCAGTCTGGAATGAAACTCTTATTATGTTGAGTGTTCACTTATGAATGCTTTACAGTTTAGCTCTTTCTCTCTTTTTTTTTTTTTTTTTTTTTTACACACAATGTTAATGTAAATCCCTTCCATAAACACTGTTCCTCTGTGTCATAGCTGCTCCATGCTAATTCTAGTTCTTGTTTGGGGAAAGTATATCTCAATGTAGAGTGTTGTGTATTTTAATAAATGTACCACTTGAAAACCACTATCTTTTGCTTTTGCCTTTACTTGACCTCACAGCTTTTCTTGCTCCATTCATCACCCTCAACTACATGCAGAACTGCATTTCATCTTGGATCCCCCCCCCCCTCCAGCTGCAAAGTCTCCAGCTTTTTTAAATTGAAGTTGTCCCTTCGTATTTCTGTTTGGAGCTCTGCGGATGTTTTACATTCTGTTGCTGGACTACCGTCTCGGCTTTATAAATGTTTGACAAGTATGATATAAACTCTGGGGTCCACCCACGGAGCCTGTTGACATGCTCTCGGGGAGTGGTAATGCTAGTGGTACAGTGCTAGCAGCAAAGCAGTGCTGTGACCTCCAGACCAAAAAGGGTGATTATCATGAGGCTGCCAGCAGAGAAAGGTATATCATTTTGTAACCAATCCCTTCCAGATTATGGGGGGGAACTATACTATCCATCACATGATTTATGTGATATGTATGGCACACCTCTGCTTGCTTGCATTCTGTACGCTCACATCCTCAGAGCTAAGATTCAACCCTGGAAACAAAGTTTAGACCATAAACTAAACTAAAAGGAGCGAGTTGTTTTGTTCCCCTCCTCGCTCGGGATAAGCAGAACTTCCAGAGAAGTGTGAGAGGGAACGTGCTATTTCCAGAGAAGCACTCTGGTTACGCACAGATTTTCAATGGTCTTGGAAATGTAGGGATTAGGTTAAGGATTAATATTTATTTACACAACTGTGTTGACCTTCGCTGAACACAGGATATGTACTGTTGCACTTTTTCTCCCCCCACCTTCCCACTTTTATAACATTTTTTTCTCTGACATGGCAGAACATTGAGTGACTGTATTTCACTTAATTAAAAGCAGTGGCCGGCCTGCCCAGATGTTATGTGGGCTGCATCTAAAAGGAGTGTTGACATTCAGTGAATAGAAGAGGCCACCTGCTAACTTAACTCTTGGCTTGAGGGGTGATTTGCATTCCTGTGGCCTGTTGCCTGGCATGATTACTCCTAGCACTTCACAATCCCATCTACTGTTTAATATCATGGATTCTTTCCAATTCAACTACATTTCTTCCTTTTTCTGTAACGCAGGAGCTGCAATGAATGAGCTCCTATTTAAGTTCCCCGAGACTACACAGGCCTCTCGACAGCAACCTCCTCACCACATGAAAGGAAAGGGTAACAATTGCCATACTCAGGGCAGATTAATATATTGGCCCCTTCTCCTCTGAGACCCCCGCGGTCAAAAACAGCCTGCAGTGAGTCAGAGGTGACTTGACATTCATCAGATCAGCACTTCCAGTGGCCACTTAAAGCTGGAAAAAGGTCAGAACCCACGACAGTTTACTTTTCACGGTAAAAGGGTTTTATGTGCATTATTCATGCGTCACGCTCTCAGGTTTATCGTATATATATATATGTCACAACACACTTTACATAAACACACTTACATAATATCAGGATGTGTTTCCAGGTGCTGATATTAAGTTGTTTTTTTTCTTTTTTTTTTTTTTTCTTTTTCTACCACAAACATGTTTATTCTCTTAACCTGATTGAAAAAACAGACGCGTCCACGAGAGCGGCTGTGAGGAACATGTTCTTATGTTCAGAAAATGTGATATATTTAGTTAGGAGAGATCATCTTGAAGCTCTTAGCGGGCGGGACCGGCTGCCTGCAAATGCTTGATGATTCAGGTCATTTCTTAATCTAATCTAAACCATCAGCAGCAGGAAATACATTGACAAATACTGCAAAACAAAAGCAAAAGGCTGCTGTTAGGAGCCACTGATCTTGTCAGACCACCGGCAGAGGTGGACGTACGTGCTTGGAGGCCGCTCAGAGACGACCTCTAACAATGTGAGTATCACAGAAGCTGCAATACTTTGTACTCTGTGTTCTTTTTCAATAATGATCAAAGCCCACTTTTCATGCAGTTATGTCTCAGTTATCCATGTTCTACTCAGATTCTACTCAGGCTGACTCCAGAGAATTAGCAACAGTTTATAATGTGAAAGCATGCAACAGAAACATTGAAAGGGAAGTAGTATCTTTTCCGTGTTTTGTATGGGAAAACTACTGCAAGGTTCCACTGACTTTAATTTCCCCTCGATGATTTATTTATAGTGTATTTAAAGTATTTTGAGTAGTTATTCATTTTGTAAACAAGTGTTCTGAATGAGAACATTTGTGTTTAAAATGAAAATCAAATGTGGTCAGATGTCCGTGAAAGAAAAGTTGGATTTTACACAAACTATGGGACTAAACATTTGTTCACAGTCTTAGAGGGGTTTATTAGGCCAGCTACTGTAAAGACAGGCCTCTGGTTAAATGTTGACTTCTCATTAACGCGCTGAGTTTCTGGTACAGTCGACTCTACCGTTGGCGGGTTAGATGGTGATGCTTTGATCATGTTTTTGGTCAATTTATTACAACTACAAAAACATAATAGTTATTGTTCGTTTGGTTTAAGGGTTCCCGTGTTTCATGGATTTACCCTGTGTTAACCAGAGATCTTTTTCTTTCTGTCGCTCAAAGTTTATTTTCAAAGTCTCACCTTGCAGTCCATCCACAAGGCAAGTGAAATTGTATCTAATAAAAATGTTGTGCAGTTTACCTTATTCATCTCCCCACATGTGGTTCTCCTTATTTGTATTCTGTGGGTGGGCTATGACTTCCATACAGCTCAATCAGTCCCTCTTGAAAAGGCAGACCATATGGGTCACATTTTTACATGTTGTTTGGTATGACAAGGCTGCAGCAGGACCAGTGAGGAATGTGTCCTCTCAGAGGGCAACGCAGAAACTCCGCTATGTTTGCTTGTTATTCACATATTCACGTTCGCTTCCCAAGCCGGAGAACAGAGGGGTTTTGGGTTCTTGAGTGTTACAACAGACTGTTTGTGAACTCAACTGTCACTTCCCATTACCATTAGAGGTGGCACCTGTGCATTTAAATCATTTTTCTATGTTTTGGGATCTCGTGCTTTTAGTTTGCATTTGACATTTAATAAATTTAAACCCTCTGTTTGCTTTGTATAATGCTATAAAATGGATTTACACACAATTGATCTTAAAGCAAATCCTGGTTGGGCTTTCCATTTTCTTCTTTCTCTATTGCATGAAGCATTTATGAAAGATATTTTCCACGAGAATCCGGAAAAACATCCAGAAAAAACAGACATGAGCCTTTTAGGATTCTTTTGTGGGTTTGTCTCAGTAGAAATAAAAGCTTATGTCATGATATGCTAACAATGTCTGTGCTCTTCTTCTTGTGCAGGTTAGTTATGTCCTCCTGCCGCCCATCTATTGTACAATTTATGTCAAAGAAGCCATAAAATAAAGAAGAAAAAGAAGAAACCAAAGCAGATGCGCAGGATATTAACCTGTTTCTGAGGCCAAGGACGTCTCTATCCTGTATTAATCATGATGATTTACTGTATCACTGAGCTTCAAACCAATGTTTAATATGCTACCGAAACAGGGCACATCAGAAGAACGTGGGCATATCTGGGCACAATTATGAACTAATGAAGAAAGATCAAAAGCAAGACAGAAAAAAAACACAATTCATTCTATAAAGCTAAACGCTTTCTATTAAAAGCTGCTGCTCTGTTGTCTCTAAGATGAAAACACCTGGAAAAAGTCAATTTTTGTCCAAGTCTTTGAATTTAATGCACCGACTCTGAGTTAATCCCAATCACTGTAGTAGCCAAAGGTAATTAAAGGTAATCTAGTTGTGTTTGTAATGCAGCTTGAAGGTATTACTTTGCTCAGCTGAACTGCAGCTACCACCGTGTCTGAGTAACCTCTCTGCAGCTGATTAAAGAAAGACAATAGCACATCTTTTACAGCCTCTTGATTCAATAGCTTTTGGAAGGTATTTAAAGGCTCTCTTATGTTTGTCCAAGGGTTTGATAATAATAATGGAAACTAATGTGGATTCATAAATTTGGTAGATGTCACACAACAGCAGAGTTGTCCGTGATTAAGAATGAATATGTAAGATAATATTTAAGGCTATCAGAAGGTTAACACGCTGAGTTTTAGAGGAAAGGTGGGAGGCTGGGAGGATGACACATCCACAGTCCCATTTAATGTGTTTGCCGCTGTGGGTGTCTGAGTTTGTAGAAAAAGGCATTTATACTGCTAAAAGTAAGTTATCAGAAAAGTGCTGGTAAACTCAGTTATCATACTTTCATGAGCAAACTGTATTTGACTTCATTGGGCTGATGTTTACTGCATCTGTCCCGTCTCACGCCACCATAAAATCATGAACAAAACAGGCTGTTATTCCAATTTTGAGAGCAAATAGAGATGTCAACACCCTCCACTTAACCCAGTTCATGTGAATACTGGCTGTTGTAAATTTTGCTGTGAAATTTAATTTCTCCCACCAAGGATACGGCTATGCCGAAGGAAACCTCTGCGCTTTATGATCCAGTCGGAGCAGTAATCCAGCCGTGAAGTCCTCTACGGTACAATATAAAAATCTACACAATAAATTTCTGGCTGCTTAGAAACAGTCTTTCTTGTGAACGCACAGTATATCTGTGACAAAGTGCTGTTGACTTTGTGAGGAAAAAGCTGAAGTCTGTAGCATGCGGGGGTGAAAGATTATTGATTAATTACTGGCGAGGATTGGGAGGTGTGTTTTTGATCACAATCTTTATTAAATGTAATGTTCATCATTCTAAAGAGGTGGGTAATCAAGCAGGAGAAGTTGTATTTCATAAATCAGTGCTCAACAGTCCTGTATTTGATCATGTGTGGACACAAACCCAACACACAGGTCAGTGGCTTTTGTGACTAAAAGCCACGGGACGCTCTGCGGTGTGATTACTGCGAGGATAATCTTTAACACACATGGTGTCTCTGAGGGGAGCTGTGGAAAGTTGGCTCAGAGCGACCAGCCTTCCTGAAGAAACTGTAAGGTAGGCTGTTATTTTTATAAAGGCTTTACATTTTATTTAAAAAAAAAAAAGTGTTGGTGGCCATTTTTTCTCTTGAATATGATGGAAATGAGATGAGGTATTGATGCCTTTCCTTACACAAGAGCAATTTTTTAAATATATATATATATATATATATATATATATATATAAATGTATGTATCCACTCTTTTCTGTTTTTCAGGCATGATTCAGCTTCAATTACAAACCATCAAGCAGTCAAAGCCTTCCATCTTCCCTGGGTATGAAAGACTGTCATGATTATTGCTTTCAGGGGTGATGATAATGTGCTATTCGCTCAGCACCAGGACTCTTTTGTTGTTACAGTTCAGTTCAATCCATGATGTCGAAATTGAAGACGGATGGAGGATGAAAATTGATTTAATCTGGTTCCTGTTTTCTTTCTCCCACTTTGTTTTCAGTATATATCTGAGAGCTTTAAACCTCTTTCATGCCATGCCGAAACCTGTACTCTATAAAGTGCTGTTTTTCACATCTGTTTCTTTCTTAGTACAAAAAAAGGAGAATAGTCCCTTTCTTTTATACGCAACGTTTTCCAGTGGAGAAACATGTTGTGGCTGTTTGATTTTATTTAATATTTTGAAGCATTCATCATCTGCTTGGTCTCCAAAATCCTCATGTGTAAAATATATTGTTCTCAGGAGACGGCTCACAAACTAGAGCAGAGACATCCTTTTTCCTGTCAAGGCATATCTGTTTGCCTAATCTACACAAACCTGAAGAGTATTGTCCATTTACAGACTTTAATCTCATAACAAACAGCTTCATGTTTGTGTAGTCGTCACTATTTGTTAGTAACCTCATGATATAGACTGAATTTCCAGTTTGTGTCTCTTCATTAGTCTGCTTGATTTAAACCACTGTACAAAATGAACATTTCTGCAGTGATCTCTGAGGTCTGGAACCATGCAAATCCGTTAATGCTGTTGTGATGCAAAAAATACACCATTTGGTGTGTCAAATGCCAAACTGTGCCGCAGAGAGTTTTAGAGTGGACACTCTAACATCAACATTGCTACGTCTTACAGATGATTGAATGATGAGGAAGTAAGACCGCGCTACATTAAAAGTAATCTGACAGTTTGTGTTATTCTTATATCATGTAAATGTGCGCACTACAGAAAAATGTTATTACAGGTGCTTCATCTATCAGTGTTCGCTATAAACCGCAACCGCAGTTTTTAATATCTCTCTGATATCTTTAATAAAAAAAAATGCAATTTTTCGTTTTCTCACAGATGTCAGATGAAGTGTTTCCAAGTACTGTTTTCTAGTGAACTGTCAAATTTTCCTCTTCTTACATCCCCCGTCTTAAACTTGAAAGTTTTTTACTCACCTGTATTACATTATTGATTCCTAAGAGCAGGAAAGCCCCTGAAGGCCAGATCTTTAAAGTGACCCTCTGCAGCTGGTATTTGTCAAGATAAACTGTAGCTGCCGAGTTTCCTTGAAAGTAGAAATGTTAAAAGGCCAGTTAAGGTTAAGTGATTGATCCAGTTATCATTGATTGAAACCTTGCTTTGTGATATAATAAGGAATAGTTTCCATAACATTTTTATTTAAAAGGTTCTACATACAGTACACACAGCTCTGATGCGTTCAGTGCACAGACGTCTGAAAAGAATTGAAATCCCAACAAACCACTAAAACCATGAAATTATATCAAATGAATCAATAATTATTTTCAGGCGAACATATCTACAACAGAAAATTGCCTTTATTCATTTTTGGCAGAAACAATAATCAGCACTTATTTGGTTTAATGTAAAAAGGTAAATAAAAGATTAAAATTCAGGTTTAAAAGTTCTAGGCTTCAGAATTCAATCATTAATGCTGCTGCGCTGCTTTTCTGTAGAGGAACATGAATAAGTGATTAGAGCTAATACACCAAAAGGCATTTAAAATTTTAGGGGGTGGCAACTGATAGACATCAACCTTGAAGTCTGCTACAAAAAAGGCTTTTCAGGGCTGATCATATGAGTCGCCCTCCTCCCCTGAGAGAGAGGTAGAGGTCTCTCATCACAGAGCAGTTTAGCGCGGTGAGATGGTTGAATGCTAGGACTTCATTAAGCCCCTCTATTGTTAACATCTGGGTTCAGAAGAATGGCTCTTTCTCTGGTAAATGTTGCCCTAGCTTAACAAGGGATTTTATTACACCATGCAGTTGACATTGGCAGCAGTGGCACGTCTGGCAATGGAAAGCCCTCAACTGTTTAGGTCACAGGAAATCAATCAAAGCAGCATGTTTCCCCGAAGCCTTCAGTTCTCAGTGGAACAGGGAGGTGAATCTAGCCTTGTTGTTGAATCAAGATTACTATAAAACTTTTTTAGTGAGTACTCTTTTAAATGCTTCCCCAGTGAAGAAAGCACTCAGTACTCAGCCTGTTAATAAATCATTTGTGCAAACTCTTCCTTCCTTATAGTTCCCCTTTTCCTGCCCTGCACCTGCATCCCATTTTTTGGATGCACATGTTACATCTTTCCTCAAAATGTTTCCACAAGAATTCCCAGTCCAGAGTGCAGCACTAATCTCCCATATCGCTCCATTTGCCACTTTGCTTCACACCATTTCCTCCCTCTCACTCTCCATCCACCCCTCCACCCCCCATCCCTCTCTGTTTTGATCCCCTCCCTGCTAGGGATGTGGCTGCCATGGCAACTGCTGAATCATCCTCCACCGTCTGCAGCCGTCCTCTAATTCCATCTCCTCGTGCAGCAAGGCCCTCCGTCGTCCAGGCCTCCATTAGCATATTGATCCGAGGCTTCAATTTGCTATATTAGCTGCAGCAGTCTGTGCGGGTTGGTCTCAGAGGATACGGAGGTGCAGCAGGCTGAACAGCAGCCATTCGGATGGGTAACGTACCCACAACAGTGAAGCACTGCTTGAGCTATGAGCAACTTATCCAGGACTACCCATGGCTGAGACGCTGGCTGCAGGAGGAGAAGGTGGGCGTCGTTTTTCTTGTTCCTAATCTGCTGCACATGCTCTGCCACATGACTCTCTCATGACAGAGAGGCTGTGCAGCAGTCAGCCACTGATGACAGCGCCGATGCTGTGTGCTGCTTATGTAATAGTCCTCTACTTATATATTGTATTTTTAAAGATGCATGGAATTCTCTCTAAATAAGAATGATGAATTGTTTAGATGTTTCTGAATTGACCGTATGTGACTAAAGCTGTAGATTAGATGCTTCTATTTCTTTTAACTCCATTAGGCAGGATAATCTATATCTGATAATAATTTAACAACAACAATATTTGTTTCTTGCAAGTGTACTAACAGACTGCCTGTTATGGTTCGTCATAATCAGATACTACACTCACGAATCACATGCTAAGTTTAAATTAATTCATAGACAATAGATAGTTACATTTAATCAACTAGAGACTAATGATTGATTGATTCATTGAAAAAATTATGGTCAGATCACTGAAAATAATCATTAGTAGCAACCTTAAATTGTAAATTTCTACTTTAGCGTTACATCCAGTTGGGTATATGAGTCTATGGCGATGCATCACATATTGTAAATAAACGTTGTCTATTTAGATAAACGATTCCAAACGAATGGTAATGTCACTCCCTGTCTGCCATAGGCTATTAAAGAAGGTGCCATTTGCTACCCTATTAGCCATTAGCCATAACATTTTAATAAGCCGCTGAATCTGTTAGCTTGTTTGGTTTCTCCGCTCCCTATAGTGGACAAAAATCAGATCATTAGAAAGATTAGTGGTTTTTGTTCAGCTAGGTGTTTTTTTTAAATGTCAACGTCAGTTAGCTAATGTTAGCTAATGTTAGCTAGAAGTTAGCTAATGTTATATAAATTATGTAATATTTAATCTCCGATAAGGTTTCGTTTTTAAGTTCAACCAGAGCTTTTTTCCCGAGAATTTTAAGGGACCAGAAAACCAGAAAAATAACCTGATCCAGAATATCCCTTGCGGTTTTTGTTGAGTTACCCTTACCACCTCTCCCAGCCTTTTCTCTGTGACACATCTCCTGAGTTTTCATCATAATGGCCTGACAAGCTTAGCTATGTTTTAGTTCTCAGATTTCAATTGGCTTTGAGGTCGAGAGTTTTTCATGTTAGAAATGACATGTCCTGGAGCATCCCACGCCAAAAGAATGACTAAGTGCTTGTGTTCAGTGTCCTGTTGAGTGCCTTTTCCTCTCTCCTTATTCTCTTTTCTGTTTCTCTTTGATATTTTGTCAGACCATTACAGGACATGAGTATCCAGAGTTTGTTAAAATCGTTGAGGTTGGGCCCAGAGATGGACTTCAAAATGAAAAGGTATACACTGTCATTTCAGTCAGGAATCTCATTTATATTTATATGCGGCCTCATTTTGTATTACTATACACGATCATCCCTGGAAAGCCCCATATTTTCCTGTGTCTGTCATACATAAAACAATCCATAACATATGGCTTGTGTGCCATAATTGCCAGGAGCATATGTTTCACATTTACTTTGAAATTGAATAGGAAAGATGACACGACTTCTGGCTTAGTTTACTCTTCTTAGCATGTCACAGCTTTATAATTTCCTTATTGCACACCAGTGGTTTTACAGATTGCACTGGATGCAGAAATAATTTCATTTACCACATGTTACTATGAGAAATAGTGTATAATTTGAAAGATCTGAAAAATATTCAACAAGTGCAAGATTCAGCATGGGAATATAGATGTCAATGTGATTGGCAAGCAGTGTAGCAAAAAACAAAAAAAAATCTGCAAGATATCTGTGTTGTGCCTCTCTTATATTGAGTGGAATCAAATCCAGAAAGAGCTGTTTCAGTTTCATTGTTTCCCAGGAAATTGTTCCGACGGAGGTGAAAATCCAGCTGATAGACATGCTCTCACGAACGGGCCTGTCTGTGATCGAGGCCACCAGCTTTGTCTCTTCAAAGTGGGTACCGCAGGTAATAACTCCTCTTTGTGCACAGCGAAAGAGTGCTGAGTGATTTATTAGGCTCCCCTTCTTGTCTGCATAACTACTGAGGAAAAGTCTGCTCCTCTAACATCCAAGCAAAGAATATTTGGAATGAATATCTTAAGACGTTTGTCATATAGTTGCCTTCTCATTCCCTGTCATAAATAGTTCCACGATTGACTCCCTGAAAAACAGCAAACATGAATATGTTTTGATAATACGTAAGAAATGTGACATAAAAAAAAAGTAATTCTGTCAGTTAAGGATTGTCTGCTGACCACAAGCATGAGAAAACATTTGTGCAGGATGAATCATGTATTCTCGGGAACATGTTTAAATGATGTTAAAGGTTTATTTTTCTACATCATATGTTTTACCTCTGTCATTTAGATGGCAGACCACAGTGACGTGCTCAGAGGGATCCAGAGAGCGCCTCGTGTTCAGTACCCTGTTTTGACACCTAACATGCAAGGCTTCCAGGATGCTGTAAGCATTAATTTTCAATACAGCCTCATGATCTCTGCTACAAAACATAACTGTTTACCCATGCTTGTCAATTTGAGTTAATTGTTGGCACTACATTGGGTTTTTTTGCCACATATATCCTGCGTTTACATAAGTGTTATTCCAACGCAGTGCTCAAAACAGTTTTACGAGTTCATTTTTCTCTCCTGTTTGAAGGTTGCAGCTGGTGCTACTGAGGTGGCCGTGTTTGGGTCAGCGTCTGAAACCTTCAGTAAAAAAAATATTAACTGCTCTATTGATGAAAGCATGCTGAGGTTTGAGGAAGTCATTAACACTGCCAAAGAGCGACAAATTCCAGTCCGTGGGTTAGTATTCTCTGGGTATTATTTGTCACTTGCAATGAGTGAAAACACCTTTTACTCACTTTGTTATTTTACTCTGATTACCACATTTGTTCTTTTGCTCCAAATGAAAACAAAACGATTGAAAATACTGTTTCTATAAGTAGGAGAAAACACACACTTCAGTAATGATACCTTTACAGCAAAGTTCCAGATGTTCACCATGTTATATCTATGCATTAGAAAACCACAAGTCCAGATGGACATGAAAGCAAAGCAAACAGGGTGAGTTACTGAATATAGCTTTGCCTTTTGTCATACAGGGAAAAGTAAGACGCTGCAACTGTAATGCGCGTTTTCTCGAATTACATGAGCTTCCGCGTCCAAAAAAGATAAACACGTCACAACTACAGTGGATCAGTGTAAACACTGTCACTTTCTAAGAGCCAAATACTGTTGAGTCATTTACAAATGGCATAGAAGTAAGGTCTGGATTATCACCAAACTCTAATCACCGATCTGTGAACCAAATCTCATGTAAATCTTTTTGGATTCCGTTGTGATTTTCCCACTGACAAACAGATGAATAGCCAAAAACACCGAGGCCAAAACACATCCGAATCAACAGCAATGCTCCAGAAGCTTCTTATCCTTATTTAAACTGAGCGAGGTAATCTAACAACAACAGGCAGAAGTGAAATATTTGGCTTTTCAAAGTGGTGATTTATTTTTTTAATTGAATGTGCTTCCAAATCTGTTATCAGGAATGTAAAAACCAAAATAATGAAATAATCAGCAGCCTGACGTTACAGAGAATTGTTGCTCCATCCACAGCACTTGTTTAGTTTCTATAGTTAGTCAGTAGCATCACATGCTATCAAAAAGATATTCATGCTAATCAAAAATGTTGTCTTCTTTCAGATATGTTTCTTGTGCCCTCGGATGCCCCCACGAGGGACACATCGAACCTTCCAAAGTTGCTGAGGTGAGATTAACTTTGTACATCCCAGATTATACTTCAGTGTTTTCTGAAACCTTCAGTAGAGCAAATATGAATGAATCGTCACAGCACGACATTAAGTAAACTCAGGTTTTGTGGATCTATACTATAGACCGGAAGCTAACATTGGTGATGGTTAAGTAACTATCACTGCCAGTTTTTTAATCGTGCCTCTTCATGCATTTTTTTTTCTCTCATTTTACATGCACAATGAATTTATGAGATGAAGCTTGATTCTACAGGAGAGCAGGCTCTTATCTCAGCAGCATGTATAATTGAATGGGAACGCGGCTGAGCTCTTATGTTTTTTCTAACGTCAATGAGCTCGTATTAGGATGCAAAAACTAATGTTTAACTGTAAATCTTCACTCTTCTTCAAAGCACAGTCATTGTTCCTTGGTTTCAGGCATTGGCCTGAAACTCCTTAATGATGAAAATGATTTTATCTTTGAAAATTTAAAAGTTTGCTCTCTGCCATTTCAATGCAAAACCAAACTTGGATCAATACTATGTTTCAGATATGCATGAACTATTTTTCTACTGTATGATTTCCTGTTAATGAGAACACTTTTGCCGTATCTTTACTACTCTTTAGGTGGCAAAGAAGTTATATGAGATGGGCTGTTGTGAGATTTCCTTGGGGGATACCATCGGTGTTGGTACTCCAGGGTCCATGTTTAAGATGCTGCAGAGTGTGATGGAGGAGGTGCCCACCAACGCTCTGGCAGTTCACTGCCATGACACCTATGGACAAGCACTGCCCAACATCCTAACTGCGCTCAAGGTAAGACCTCATAATATACAATATATCCAGTCATCCCAAAACTACTGCTGCTACTATCACTGCTGTACGTTGGCCCTGAGAGCTCAACACACTGCAACTTAAGGAAACACGTGCAAATACACAATGGGGGTGGGGTACCATGAAGGTGTAATCCTAACTACTTTCAACTTCAGAAGTCACAATTGGGCATGGAACAACAAGTCCCAGCCAGGTTCATCACTTTTTAGTGTCCCCTGGAAACACCTCTGTTCTGTGGTAAAGGACGTTTCATGTAAATGTTTTCTAATTTGCAGCAGGTCCGAGCCCAAGTTGCTGTGCGTTGAGCTCTTAGGGTCATCATACTACTGACCATAATGATTGATTATGTTGTGATCATTAGTATTACATGATTTTTTATAACAATTAACAGAAGAAAAAGTAGAGATAGTAGTAGATGTAGTGGGAAAAAGACTCTTAATGATTTTGTTAAGACTTTCTACAAAGTAAGACTACTCTTTATTGTTTGAGAACAAAAATGAGACATTAGCCAAACTGTTGTAGTTAACTGTATTTTGCCTAACTGCATCCACTTGTTCCACTTTAACCCTCTGTACCTTCATAGTTTTAACAGTTCTATGATGTAAAGGATGATTGTAAAAACTCAGATGAACACACCCAAAAACACAGTCAATATAAATTAATTTCAAACTTCATGGATACATCCCATTTGATGATCATTTACAAGAGCATTTACTTCATTTACGAGAGTGTCAATAAACAAAAATACCAACAGAGAGAGCAAAAGAGAAAAACGAAGGAAAAAAAGGAAATACAAACAAACAAGTACTCCCTGAACCCCAAACCCAAAGTTTATGGTTAATATGTAAGCTATCCATTTTTCCAAGAGAAGTTGTGGTAAAGGTTTACAAGTGCTGCTCTCTGGCAGGACTGTGCTGCTGCTCTCAAAGCACCTGGCATTTCTGGAAGTCTTTAAATGAGGGGGAACAGCTCCAAAAGTTGGGTGGAGGGACCTGTGAATTCTGGGAAAACATCGAGGAAAGAGCTTGAAAAATTCTGTCCCTGAAAATCTGGTAAAAGGAAGCAAACATGAGGGCGCTCTGAAAAGGGAGAAAAGGTTGAAAAAGCATAAGGCCCCTCTGAAGAAAAGAAAGACGTGGGCGCTGATAATTCCGGAAGGACAGGTGTGAGTCACAGCGCTCATTCACAACCTCTTTGATGTGATGAAAAGTATGAAAAAGCATCCTTATCTTTGTGTGAGAGATGTGAGAAGTGGCAGCACTTTATCTTACAGAGGTCTGTAGAGGGCTTACAAATACTGGCGTGATTAGAAGAGAGGAGGCAGCTTCTCCACTGTACTAGCACAAGACAGCAGTGCATCATCCTCCTGATCCTCACATCCTCTCATGTTGAATTGTCCGACAGCTTTTTCATTGTGCTTTCCCTGTGGCTTGGCCGGGATTCTTCGGGCACCTTCTCCTTTACATGCACATCCTTCTCCTTCTGATGAATATAAATATTCTTGTGGAGAGCCGCAGGCCAATTATGGATAAATGCCCAGCCTGTGCATACATCAAGTGTTGTTACTCATGATGACATGACGAGGAGCAACCAGATGTGGAAGCAAAGTCGAGGTGGTGATTCTTGTTCCAGGATATCTTTCAACTTGCTCGAGTAACTGCCAACATTGTAGAGATCACAAGTCTTTTCTGAGGCTTTAAATCATTCTTCCTGCTGGGGATAATCATATGTTAAGCTGCTCCCAATCCATCTTTTTAGGCAATTTTACAGTACATTTAAAGACAGCATTTTTTTTTCTTCATTTTTATGAGAGCTATGGAAAGTAGTGTTTATTATTTGACTGGAAACAGGCAAAAAGAAGTTAAATTCTCATCAATTAAACCATTTATTTTGGCCATTGGAGGTTGGTTGAAATGAACTTGAAGTATTTTAGAGCTTCTAAGGTCTACATTGAATAAGAATAATATAATGGCAAAAACAGGCGAAAAGAAGTTAAATTCTCATCAATTAAACCATTTATTTTGGCCATTTAAGGTTGTTTGAAATGAAATTGAAGTATTTAAGAGCTTCTAAGGTCTACATCGAATAAGAATAATATAATATAAGTTACAAAAATACTGCTGACATTCTTCTCTCAAACAAATATTGTCATATGGAGCTGAAGAGTAGGATGAGATGTTTATGAAACTCACTGTAAACCTGATTTGGCCCTCAGCTTTAATGGCAATGTGTCAGTTTACGACATTATGAATGTATCCTCTGTTCGGCGAGTATTGAGAGGGCCCAAAACAAATGTGTAGGTTACAATGGGACACACAGAAAACCAGGAACCATCAGTCAACAAGGAAGAGGGGCATTAAGAAACATGATCTATAGCCTCCCCACAAAGTAAGATGATTCACAAACTGCCCACTGAAAAAAAAAAAAAAAAAAATCCCAGAATCTTAATGAACATAAGATATTTCCAAAGGGCCCTCCATTCACAGTACACATGTATTCAAGTGAAGAACTTCATGGACTATTACGGTTATATACTGTAACATAGGCGACTCACAAAGATGTAATTAGCTTGTAAACTCCTGTAGAAGATCTCTCGTCGGGGTGATTTTCACCACTTTGCCCGTAGCGAGTGTAAAACTGACATAAATGCAGACATAAAACAGAGGTAACGCAGATATGGCTGTATCAGTTCTCTGGAGCACATTGTCATTGCAGAGGAGGAAGCTCATTGGGGGCTGGGTGGGTCAACAGATGTGAGGGGGTCAGCACAAAGGCTCACCTATTCAGTGTCTGTTGGACAAAGCAACTGAAAGCTAGGTGGATAGAAGGGCCCTGGGGGGCTCCTAACTCATCTGTCGCTTGGCTGTTGAACTCTGACAATGCTGTGCTTAAAGGCCAGTGGAAAATGATCCTTTCATTTGCTCGCTGCCGAGCACGTGATGAACGGCGCCGCAGCTGCGGGCCCAACTCAAGAAAACTTCAGGAGCACTTTGTTTCATAGGACTAAATGTCTGGTGTGCAGAAGATAATTATGCTTTGTGACTTTTAGTTTGTGTGAAGTGAAGTGAAGTTTACTAGTTACACACCCACCAAAGACAAAGCACCTCTATGTTAATACTGGAAAATACAGTAACTAATTATGTTTTGTACCTGGAAGATTTTAACATATTACACACATTTATTTCCTGATATTTAATTTTTTCAAAGTGACAAAAGTAGTACAGTTATTACTTCTTACTGCATTCCTGTGTACTACACAAGATTTTACTGCATTCGTAAGGAGCATTTATAAATCAAAATGAATGCACTTAATGAATTAGATTCACATTGCTGATCAGAACTATGAAGATTGAGGACATGTCAGTTCATAGTATTCTAAAATTTTTCAGTGTAATCCTAAAAAAAAAACAAAAAAAAAAACATGATTTATAGTCAACTCTGTCAGGATACAAATACAAAGTAGGGCTTTCATTTGGAGGAAATTATGGTTTGATTTGCTCTAATATTGATTCTCTTTGGTACTGGGGATCTGTAACACTGCATCTCTGTGCTAAAGGGAAGCTCAACGCTGTCCATGTGTGAAGTAGCAAATATTTTTAAAGTTAGCTTTGATTTTGGATGGCGGAGTGAGAAAGTGCAGAGGGACGGTGAAATTCCTGTGTGGATCATACTTAGAATGATTCATCACAGCTGCCCCGTGGCCACAGAAAGTAATAGCAGCCGCGGATATTTAGCCTACCATTTGCTCACCCATAAACAAGATGGAAATGAAAGATTTTATCATAGTTTTTCATTACTGTGTGCCAGAAGTCCACACCACCAACTGGGAGAGAAATGAATTCCCCCAGCGCTGTCAGCCCTGAGTCACCTCTTTTGTTCCTGATAAAGACATTCCTCAGTCTTTGTACCTTTTCTTTTTTTTTTTTTTTTTTTTTTCATGAGGTCTGGGGGGGCTTTGTTACTAACCTACTCCTGGCAGGTCACACAATGACAATGTATGTACTTAGATTTCACAGGCTTGGCAAGGAAAATTATTTATTCTTACCCGCAATTTTGGTGTATTGTGTACTGCTGCAGCTGGGGAATACAGTATAACCTGTTTGTGCTCACACTTGAGCTCTCCGCTAACAATAACATTCATCTGCAGTATTTTTCTTTTTTCTTTTTGTCCGCGAGGCATTATCCAGCTATGATGGGCTGTGCAGGGTCACTAACATTCAGAGTTGTACTGTAAGTGTGCTGATAACTTCAGTACAACTCTATGTTGGCCTTAGTGGCACATGTTGATATGACAATGTTATAATTGACATTTACAACATGACTATATGACAGTAATAAATGATTACACACTCTGAAGTTAAATAATCAATAGAATCAAATTTTATGGAATCACAAAGTGATATTTACAATAAAAGATACAATTTATAGATCCTGAAAGATTGTTTACAAAACAAACTAGGTAGGTAAAACGGTTTTATAAAGATGAGCGCATTCATACATATACATGTATGTTACAATCATATTATGTCCTGCTCTACATTTTATCATTATGCTTTGTGATTTATTTATCAGAGACAAATGAATTAACATGACTTTGATTTAAATCTGTCAGAATTGGTTAAGAATTTAATTTTCACTTGCAGCTTCTGGGAAACAAACAGGCCTCAAAAACAACAGACGGAACAGCATCAAAGCACATATAAGTGGAAACAGCATAAATGGAAGAATAAATATTTCAAAGCATTGCACATACAGTATCACATTCAAAACCTTACAATCACCAACAAGAGCAAAAATCACAAAGACGTATAAAACAGAACAGAAGTATAATCTTTCAAGTAAATGCTTATGAAGCACAGCTTTCTGGTCATTTTAATTGTGATAAAATAAGTCAACAGTTAAATATTAAAATCAAGTATTATTAAAGATAATTAAAGATATTTTTACTATGACTAAGACTTGGTCAATAAACATACGAACAGGTGCATTTAGCACAGTCTGTGTCTACGGCAACTAGTTGTTTCTGTAATATTTTTTTATGGATGCAGATTTATTTTTGTGTACTCCTGGCAGCTCCAACCAAATACTTTTCTTTCTTTTTCCTTTTTTTTGGGGAGGGGGGGAAATAAAGTTAAATCTGTTTTGATTTCCCTCCTACTGGCCACACAGCTTCCACCTGAACATAAAGACATGAAATTGAATAGTTTTAAAGCACCAGGATTTTAAATTACGATCAGAATATTTGCTATATGAAGACTGATGGTCGAAACTCAGTAATCCATGAAGGGTAAAGGTGAATGCCTTGATTATATAGTTCAGAATTTTTATGCTCAAATAAATCATGAAGGAAAAATGTAATTTATTTATTCTTCATGTTTGTTTTGTCTATCTCCTAGCTGCCCTCCAGTATCTGGGCTTTGCGTTCCAAGTTGCTGGGAAGAGGTTATATATGTGTCAGCAGTGGATCTGTGACAGTTTTCTTTCAGCCTCTCAGTTCATGTAGTTGTGGGTAAAGCATCACTGCTGCATATTCCTCTGTGAATACACGCTCTCTCTTTCTCTCGCTGACGCAGTTATAAAACCAAAATGGGAGCATGTCCGTCCTCAGCCTCGTCCACTCAGTGTGTAGAATGTCAACAAGCTTATCCCAAATCACGCAAAGTTTGAAAATGCACTGTGTCGTTACTCAGGAATGTATTGTTTTTATATAGCCACAGCTCAGTGGATATAGCTTTTTTTTCACACTGAGTGCACATCTGGTTTCTGGGCAGTGTGAACCTAACTGAGCATTGGCAAGTTCGAGCTGCTGACCACCAATCCCTGCGCGATTACTGTCCAGAGGAACGCGGCACGCTGCTGAAGGCTCTGTTTTGTTCCTCTCGGAAACAGTATGCTGAAGACCCCTGGCCTTACACGGTTAGCAGCTGAAAGCGAGAGGATTGGCATGGTAGATTACAACTCTGTGTTTATACTACAAAAATTCTGCCTAGTACAATATCCTGCTCTGGCTTGAACCAAGGTCTGGAAATCTTGTGCACTGCACACACACCGGAGTAGATCTCCTCCTCCTTCTACCCCACCTCCTCCTCTTCCTTTGCCAACACAAACAGCAATTACGGCTGGCTCAGACAGCCCCTGGAAGAAGTACGTTCTTGTCTGGAGGAAAAGCAACCAATTAGCAGCATTGTTCAAAAAAAAAAAAAAAAAAAAAAAAAAAAAAAAGGAAAAGGCAGAGATTCTTTTAATTTAGCTTGCTTGGTCATGCTCCATGGGGTGAAAGTCCTTCATGACCCAATGCCACTGAGAGGATCAGCGTGTTAATTTTGTCTCACTGTGGGATCCTCTGACATCTGGCTCTGCCACGGAAGCTGGAAAATATCTTTAATATTCTCATGACGATCCCAGGGACATGTGGAAAACATCCTGAGACCTTAGTCTGTAATGACTCTGAAAAACTGAAGGTCTGGCTTCATCATTTTTTTGGTGTGAAAACAAAGTTTATACACTTACACAGCAAGCACTACTGTTTTATCTCTGTATGTCATATCTGCATTCAGAGAGATTTTAAAGTACATCTCAATCAATGAACTCATCCTGGGACAGTTATATTTCCTTAGCAGCATTTTTAGATGTTTGGTAAGCTGTCCAACAACAAAAAAAAACCCCAACTGAAAACGCATCATAAATTTTCATATGGAGGACAGACACTTGATACTGTAGTCAGTAAAAGAAAAGGACATTTTCCCTCAAAATATCAATTATAATCAGCCAATGAACCAAATCCCTGAAATAAGAACACATTTGAGTAGTAATGTTACAATTCCTGTATTGTTGGCACAGTGTAAGAGGACACTATCCAGCCAAGGAAAAAATGTCTTCTCAGTGTGGCAAGAAAGTGAATCCCCATGGTTAAGGGCAGAGTAGTGCTGTAAAAACATGAGTAACCAGGAGAATCAGAAACATATGAAATGTTCTGTGCAGCATTTATAATGTTCCTCTCATATGAACAAGGCCGTAATTATGTGGTGCTGGTGGTTTGAGCTGACAAAGAGGATGACTAAGCTATACTGTGGGACATTCTGTGCCCACTCATCTTCAAGACATAAGCCCACAGTTCTCCTAAACAGCTGTAAAACACGACCGCAGAGCGCGCGGTCCTGCAGCCAGCGGCTCGAACAATTCAACAGAACAAGGATCTTTGTTCCCAGGATTTTACCTGAGGTGAAGTCTGTGTGGAGGTGCTGAATGTCTCTGTTGTGTGTCCTTGTAGATGGGGGTCTGTGTGGTGGATTCAGCAGTAGCTGGCCTGGGAGGCTGCCCGTACGCTCAGGGTTCATCTGGCAATGTTTCAACAGAGGATGTTCTCTACATGCTCCATGGCATGGGTATTGAAACTGTAAGTATGTCTTCACCGTGCACTCAGCAAGACCTGCTGTATTTTATGATCCCCAGCACATCCACTAAACTCATACAATCATTCCAAGCTCATTTACATAAACAGATCACTGTGCAAACATGCTGCTCTGTAAATGTTTATTTTATAATATCAGTGGTTTTACAGAACTTGCACAAGCCCAGTGTTGCATGGCCCTCCTCAGGAACAATTTATTTAACAATTCCTACCCCTGCTGGTGGAATATTTTCACTGCACTTTAGTTTTCTGTCACCTGTTGCACGCACCATTTACATCCTTTACACTGACAATATTTGTTCATCTCACTTACATTATATCACCTTATAGGCATTGCATTTTAATGGATATTACAACATTTTTTCTGCAGGGTGTGAATCTCGCCAAAGTTATAGAGGCCGGTGACTTCATCTGCAACGCTTTATGCCGCAAGACAAACTCCAAGGTTGCCCAGGCCACAGGCAAAACATTGTGATGTGTTTCTGATGAGGAATATGTTTTAATATTTCACCCTGTTCCCTTTAAAGTGCTTCCCCTGTTGTTGCTGCCTTTCAATTTGTCGTCTATGCTGCTGTATTTGAAGTGCATTGTTCCCTGTTTTAAACCGTCTGAGGTATATGAAACAAATACTATCAATACTTGTGTTCCAAAACCAGCTCTTTCAATTTCACTTTCCTTTGTTCAGTGTTTCAGTTCATTTCCACATTTTGGAGTTTATTCAGACCTGAAGGACCATCATGATCTGCCTAATTATCTTTTTTTTTGTGTGATATTTTGGTTGTCTTGAAACAAGGATGTTGAAAATAACTAAAGGAAGACAATTGGCTCTAAGAAAACCTTTTTTTCTGTGATAGAAGTCTGGATTGATGAGTTATGAATACATGTGGCCTTTTTACAGGCTGAATTATCCACTTCTGTTTTTAAATTTTAACACAGTTATTTGGCTCTTACAAATAAACCCAGTAAATATCAGTCACTTTTGTTATTTGCATAGCTCAGTGGCCTTATACAACAGAAGTAACAAAACAAGAATTTAATAGCTACAGTATTCTCTGCTTTGGCTGTGTACTGAGGTTAGTATAGGTTATTATCACCACAGGTGTTTCATTTGAATAAGACAAACTATAAAAAAAAAAAAAAAAAGCTCCTTGCTGCTTTATAAATATGAATATTTCCATATGTAGAATACTTCTGAAGATCTGTTCAGCTTTTCCTCCCCAGTTTGAAGTCCGTGTGATCATCCAGAAAAAAGACTCATCTCAAACTACCAGAAAAATAGCCATTTTAAAGCAATGTACAAAGTGTTTTTGCCCTCAGGTTTGCCAAAGAAGTGCCCCTTGACTGCTTGCCATTAAAAAACTTGAACCATGACATAAGCTATCGTCCATGTGAAAGTCAAATGTGGCTGCATTTCACCTGTGTCTCTCCTGTCTGTTTACATCCTGCTATCTGTAAAACGTAACAATAGAAACATTAAAAAATGAATGTGACACTGAATTTTAATGAACTTTTATCTAAAGCAAGATGTGACAAAGAAAAAAGTACCATATATATTGTACTCATGAAAAATGAATATCTTTTTATGTTCACATATGTTGGTTTCAGATAATGTAAATAAAGACCAAAGTTTTGTGTCGTTGTGGATGTCTCTGTCCTGGTCCTCAGGACTCAGGATACCTAGCCAATTCATTGTTGTTAATTGTATTCATCTCATATCCCAGTAGTTTATCAGTATAATGAGATGCAGGAGTGAAAGCCGGCTGGACTCTGGGACTGAATAAAAAATCAACTCTTAATGAACAGATGCAGCAGATAACTGGCAAATTTGCATAAGTGTATTAAAATGTGATAATTGCCTTCTCACAAAGGCCCATTTTCATCACATATGCAAAAAACTATTTATCAAAAAATTATGCATTTGGGTGCAGTTACACATGCTAGATTTTTTTTAGTGGGGCATCTATTGTGTCTGGTAATACACATTTTCTCTTATACAATGCAAATCAGATGACTGCAATAATGAGAAAAATTTGGAATATCAAATAACAGACATCCAATAGGATGAATTTTGTATAGTATATGAAACTATAAATAGAGTTTTAATTCTATTGCAGTAAAAATCTGACAAAGTTTTATAAAAGAATAGACATATATACTTTTTTCAGGTGCAGAGCAGTGCAGTGTCATTGAATAAAAAAGTCTTTTAAAGGTTCATGCATTTTTTTACCTTACTACAAAAGGATGTTTTTATTCCTTATGATATATGAATTTCTTTATGACTTACATTAAGTTTTTAAGCCTTCTGGCTTTTTTATACAATACTATACTATGCCATTTTTATGCCTTACTATATTATGTTTTTTTTAAATACGTAATATGACTGTTTATGTCTTACTATACTATGATGTTTTTTCACGTTTTTATGCCTTACAATACTATGACATTTTTTTGATGTTTTATTCGTTACTATACTATGACATAAGCCTTATTATAATATTACGTTTTCAGATATTTTTATGCCTTACTATACTGTGACATTTTTGGCATTTTATGCCTTACTATACTATGACATTTTAAGCTTTACTATACTATGACATTTTTATGTCTTAATATACTATGATGTTTTTTCACGTTTTTATACTTTACTATACTTTGACATTTTAATCCTTATTATACTATGATGTTTTTAAATATTTCTTTGCCTTACTACATTATGATGTTTTTTCACATTTTTATGCTTTACTATATTATGACTTTTTGTGATTTTTTTTTGCCTTACTATACTATGACATTTTATGACTTACTATACTATGACGTTTTTCCGTGTTTTTATGCCTTACTATACTGTCATTTTTTGTTCCTTAAAATATGACAATGTTTTTATGACTAACTAAACTGAAATGTTTTAATGGTGTGGCACCGAGTGGATAGAACTGACGTCCCGTAGTGTAGAGATCGTGGGGTAGAATCCAGTCATGGGATCGTTCTGTGTTAAATTGTCATGTTCTCCCTGTACCTGTGTGAATTCTTTGACTACGCTGGCTTCTTCCCACTGTCCAAAGACATGATTTTTAGTTTTATTGGGGACTGTAATGCCTTACGTTATAAAAAACGACATTTTTATGTCTTACAATACTATGACATCTCTTGACATTTCATGCCTTACTATATTATAACATTTTATACCCTACTATAGTATGATGTTTTTATGCCTTACTATACTATGACGTTTTTTCACGTTTTTATGCCTTACAATACTATGACGTTTGAAGCGTTATTATGGTGTGACGTTCTTTGATATTTTTTTGCCTTACTTTACTATGATGTTTTTGGACGTTTTAGGCCTTATTATAATTTGACGTTTTTTGACATTTTTTTGCCTTGTTATACTATGACTTTTTTTCAAGTTTTTATGCCACTATATTATGATGTTTTAAGCCTTATTATAACATGAAGTTTTTTGATATTTTATTGCCTTGCTATACTATGATATTTTATACCTTACTATACTATGACATTTTATGCCCTACTATACAATGAAGTTTTTAGCCTTATTATAGTATTACGTTTTTTGGTATTTTTTTGCCTTACTATACTATGATATTTTATATCTTACTATACTATGACGTTTTAAGCCTTATTATAGTATGGTGTTTTTTTATATTTTTTTGCCTTACTATACTATGACGTTTTTTCAAGTTTTTATGCATTACTATATTATGACATTTTTCCATATTTCTATGCCTTACAATATTATAACATGTTAAGCTTTACTATACTATGACATTTTATACCCTACTATATAATGACGTTTTTAGCCTTTTTATAGTATGACCTTTTTTTGATATTTTTTTGCCTTACTATACTATGACATTTTATGCCTTGCTATACTATGACATTTTTTGAAGTTTTTATGCTTTACGGTATTATGATGTTTTTCCACATTTTTATGCCTTACTATATTTTGACATCTTAAGCTTTACTATACTATGACGTTTTTGTTGATATTTTTTGCCTTACTATACTATGATGTTATTTGAGGTTTATATGCCTTACTGTACTATGATGTTTTTTGACATTTTTTTGCCTTGCTATACTATGACTTTTTTATGCCTTACTATATTTTGACATCTTAAGCTTTACTATACTATGACGTTTTTGTTGATATTTTTTGCCTTACTATACTATGATGTTATTTGAGGTTTATATGCCTTACTGTACTATGATGTTTTTTGACATTTTTTTGCCTTGCTATACTATGACTTTTTTATGCCTTACTATATTTTGAAGGTTTTCCACGTTTTTATGCCTTATTATATTATGACATGTTAAGTCTTACTATACTATGATGTTATTTGAGGTTTATATGCCTTACTGTACTATGATGTTTTTTGACATTTTTTTGCCTTGCTATACTATGATCAAGTTTTTATGCACTACTATATTATGACGTTTTAAGCCTTATTATAGCATGACGTTTGTTCAACGTTTTTTTGCTTTACTGTACTCTGATGTTTTTTGGTATTTTTTTGCCTTACTATACTATGACGTTTTATGCCTTACAATACTATGACGTTTTAAGGGTTATTATGGTATGATGTTTTTTTGATGTTTTATGCTTTACTATACTGTGAATTTTTGATACATTTTATTCTTTACTATACTATGACGTTTTTAGGCCATTTTATGTCTAATTGAACTATTACGATTTTTGACATTTTTATGCCTTACTATATTATGAAGTTTTTCCACGTTTTTATGCCTTATTATATTATGACATGTTAAGTCTTACTATACTATGATGTTATTTGAGGTTTTTATGCCTTACTGTACTATGATGTTTTTGACATTTTTTTTGCCTTACTATACTATGACGTTTTTTTCAACGTTTTTTTGATTTACTGTACTTTGATGTTTTTTGATATTTTTTTGCTTTACTATACTATGACGTTTTTTCAACGTTTTTTTGCTTTACTGTACTATGACATTTTTTGATATTTTTTGCCTTACTATACTATGATATTTTATACCTTACTATACTATGACATTTTTAAATTTCTTTTATGCTTTACTATACTATGACGTTTTTTGACAATTTTTCACCTTGCTTTTTCAAAGTTTTTTTGCTTTACTGTACTATGACGTTTTATGCCTTACTGTACTAAGATGTTTTTGACATTTTTTTTGCCTTACTATACTGTGACGTTTTATACCTTACTATACTATGACGTTTTAAGCCCTATTATAGTATGATGTTTTTTTATATTTTTTTGCCTTACTATACTATGACGTTTTTATGCCTTACTATACAATGACGTTTTTTCAACGTGTTTTTGCTTTACTGTACTATGACGTTCTTTGATATTTTTTTACCTTACTATACTATGACGTTTTATGCTTTACTATACTATGACTTTTTTTGATATTTTATACCTTACTATACTATGGCGTTTTTTCAATGTTTTTTTGCTTTACTGTACTATGACGTTCTTTGATATTTTTTTGCCTTACTATACTATGATGTTTTTGGATGTTTTAAGCCTCATTATAATATGACATTTTTTTTAAATATTTTTTTGCCTTACTATACTATGATGTTTTTTGACATTTTTTTGCCTTGCTATACTATGATTTTTTTTCAAGTTTTTATGCTTTACTATATTATGACGTTTTAAGCCTTATTATAGCATGACGTTTGTTCAACGTTTTTTTGCTTTACTGTACTATGACGTTTTTTGGTATTTTTTTGCCTTACTATACTATGACGTTTTATGCCTTACAATACTATGACGTTTTAAGGGTTATTATGGTATGATGTTTTTTTGATGTTTTATGCTTTACTATACTGTGAATTTTTGATACATTTTATTCTTTACTATACTATGACGTTTTTAGGCCATTTTATGTCTAATTGAACTATTACGATTTTTGACATTTTTATGCCTTACTATATTATGAAGTTTTTCCACGTTTTTATGCCTTATTATATTATGACATGTTAAGTCATATACTATGACGTTTTTTCAACGTTTTTTTGCTTTACTGTACTTTGATGTTTTTTGATATTTTTTTGCCTTACTATACTATGATATTTTATACCATACTATACTATGACATTTTTTCATTTTTTTTAAAAGTATGTTTTTTGGGCTTTTTATGCCTTTATTTGATAGTGCAGTAGAGAGACACAGGAAATGGGGAGGCAGAGAGAAGGGGAATGACATGCAGCAAAGGCCGTCCGATGCGGGACTCGAACCGGGGCCAACTGCAGCGAGGACTGTGGCCTCTACACATGGGACGCCTGCTTAGACCACTACACCACACGACACCACGACATTTTTTTCATTTTATTATGCTTTACTATACTATGACGTTTTTTGACAATTTTTCACCTTGCTTTTTCAAAGTTTTTTTGCTTTACTGCACTATGACGTTCTTTGATATTTTTTTACCTTACTATACTATGACGTTTTATGCTTTACTATACTATGACTTTTTTTGATATTTTATACCTTACTA